TATTCTTTCGCGTTCCCAGTGGAACATAGGGCTTCAAGCTAGAGGGTTGAAGTTTCGGTAGCAGTGTTTATTTTTACAGGATGGGGTTGCTAGCCTCATGCCCAACCTTCCCTCTTTACCAGCTCTTTAGTTCTGGCTTAGCGAGGTAAAGGAGTGCGCCGGCCGTGGGTCGAACCCCGGACCATGTGCATGGTCGGCGAGGACGCACTCCTTGTAGAAGTTAGTAAAAGGTTATTGTGTAATCACTAGTTTGTAAAATAATGATAATCATGAATATTAAGTAGATATACGTGTTGGTATTTGGTGGTTGGAGGCAATCTGCAGGAAGCCCTCCTCAATCTAGTTTTCATGACATTCGGCACTCACCAGTTTGCAAGGCGTATCTGCAACACTGAAAGAACTTATGTCCTTTCTGATATTCAAACCAGCGTCAGTGCTGCATTCAGAGAGCTATTCAGGCTTGCGATTGACCTCCTGTAGTACTGTATTGGATATTCTTTTGATTGGACACAAGTCAGTAACTAGTGTAATGTGTCAAGTCCTATCTTCGGTGCAGACTGAATTCTATCAGACAAGTTTGCAATTTGGCCACTATGCTAGGTGGTTCTCCATCACGGCGCATTATAAATTGTGATGATGAACCACCCAGCATGGTGGCCAAATTGCAAACTTCACTAATAGAATTCAGTCTGAACCAAAGATGGTACTAGACACATTAAACTAGTTACTGCCTAGTGTCAAATCGAAGATATACAGGTCATCAACTGTTAATGATTACATGAATGTAACTGCAGGAGAAGAGATCAAATATGTCAACCAAAATAGTCATCACGAAATATACCCATTTGTTCATAAAGGACAGCACAGTTTTCTCTCGTAGAAGAAAAATTTGTTCTACGGAGACTGTTGATAAAGAATTGGAAAATCTTCGCGAGTAATGTATGTCCTAGGAGGAAAGAAGCTGCTCCTGGCTAAATTATTGTGTCGAAAAAGACACTGTTTATGAGTTCAGCATTCAAAAGTGACAGTATTGCTCAGGTTATTAATAATCGCCTATCCAAGCGTATTAAACTCTCTTTCTACGCCGCTAACTAACATTTTATATTCCCCGGCTGAAGTACGATTTGAAAATGTGTCAAGGATGAACTACCGCTCTCAGCACACGCTGTTATAAGGCTGATTAGAGTGGACGCCGTAAGCGTCTTTTGTGGAGACGTGTAGCTGAACACTACTGGGTTTAGTTGATGAAAGGCGACCATGGGTTTGAGGAATTTTCCATTTGTGAACACCTTCTGGAGTCAAGCCACCCTACCCCAAGCACTTTATATAAGAGTTTACGTCTTCACTACCTACGTGTAGCCGAAATAATAGCCATATATGGACGAAAACCTAAATTATACATTAAAAACGTTTTGTTCAAACCCCCTTCCTCACCTTGGTAGTAGCAATCGCCTTTTTTATTTCTATTTTGGGATTACCTCCTTCCTAGACATCCTTCTTACAGGAAAACTAGATGGTAGCATAAAGAGAAATTCCCTGAAGCAAAGTACATGAACAGGACAATATACACATTTTCTCTCTAGTCCAAGAGAAATTTAATAAGAGCCCCCAGCTACAGGGTCAGAGCTATACGTTTAGAAGACTAAACTGAAGATGAACTTAGGATTCTACGTGACACCTCAGTTGGAAACAGTTATTAAGAAACGTTCACCGAGAAACAAATGACCGGGAAAGTAGAAAAGGACCACTGTGTAAATTAGAAGTCTTTATATATACTGCTGAAATTCAAGTGTGAAATAATTACGAAGTTAAGAAAATTCATTCAAAGAATTTTTAATGACGGTAAACTACAAGTCTTATTTTCTACACAATCAGTGGTGATTCCTTGATTGAAAGATGAAGTACCTATACTAGCCACTTTTATTCATATCACCAATTCAACTGCACCTGTGGTGGAACGAGTTATATTGGCTGTTGCTCTAGGAACTTGATTTTCCATGCTCGAGAACATCTCTCAGTATGGCTAAATAATGGTGTAGTAAAAATCATCAACAGTTTACTATCACACCACTTGGTCCTAACCGGCTACAAATCCAGCAAAGAAGAATCGTCCTCTGTCATCTATCTGGTACCCAATAAATTGCAAAGAGCATCCAGCTACTGAATGCTCCAAATAGAGGAGGTTACTGCAATTCACCTGAAACAACTGGTGCTCTGTTTTCAGAAGAAACAGATCTAACCACTATTATTGCTCTGGCCTGCTGTGGAGTCTGCAAAATCATAAGTATCTTTTTACGCTGGCCTTTTTTGATATGGCTGTCCATCCTGCACATACAAATTCCCCTACGCCTCGTTGTTACTGACTGCATGCGTTCACCAGTTTATCCAAGTAGCTAGCTAGGATTCGGGTGGTTTGTACCTATGTGGTTCTCTCAGTTGACGCAAACTAGGTATATCACTGATGAACTCGACCCAGAACTACAGAATAGGCGGTTCTGCATTTAAATCGCTTCGAACTGGCTATCAAACACAACTGATTGAAGTGAGTGGTGTCAAACTGGTCATCATAAACCATCAGCAGCATACAGTTTCATGTATCTACCTATTCGTCACATCATAGATATGATCAGATACTTGTCAATTTTTTTGACTTCCTCTAACATGGATCATATCGCTCAAATGTTTAGTAGAAAATAATACACATTTCTGTAGTTCATACACACTCTGAAATATATACTGTTATCTGACCGCTACCAGAGGTGGCATGACCTTGAAAACCTAATATAAATCTTCTGAGTCTTTATCACCAGTCTGTCTTCTGAAGACAATCTAAACCAAACAACTAAACAAGTCGGAGGACTTTATCACATCACTTCCTAAATGTTAGTTTTTTAAACCTATCTAATATTTATCAAGCGAAAGTATTCGAACTTCGCCTCAGTTAGCTCAGAGGACCCTACAATGTTTCGTTGTTTTTGCTGACTAGGACTATATCATTCTCATACCTTAAATTAACTTCATTTATGATCCCGACTGCTATATGCAATCGAATTTTCATCTCTCAATAACTGAATCATCACAAGCTTGATCATGAGTTGGCATGCGTTACAGAACCACTGGAAAACCAAGAAGTATTGGACAGCTGTTTCGTGCTAGTTTAGGACTCCTCATCAGTGCGCACCTGTTGGGTTTCGAATCCAGATCCTGGCACATACAAGCCAGGCTTTCAGACCATTCAGTCACCGGGACCTCATTCGTAAACTCTTCTCCTACCTGACTTAGTGGACCCTGCTGCTCTATGGTTTTCAAATGGTTCGCTAGCTGATATCAGCACGTGATCGAACCTTTAAAAGTTCAAATCCCAGCAAACCAACGCTTGATAATTAAATCATTCTACCTCTCTTTTATATCTTTATATGTATACATATGAACAAGCCAGAACGCTTGCTTTGTAGAGCTCTGGGACCACATTTTACACTGCATGATCATAATTTAGTACTCACTTAACTCACTCACACTGAGGGAAATAACTGTTGTCTTAAAAATCTCAGTGCCAGAGTAACACTCATCTAACCGAGGAAAGCATGTGTTGAATTGAATATATATGAACTTCCTTTTAATTTATTATTAATTGTATTCAACAACTTTAAATTATTAGAGGCATAACATCCCTAAAAGTAGTTAAACTCCTATTGTTCAGTCATTAAGCGTGATTAAAATCAGACATAAACTGTCTATCACTACTATTATGCTTTCATCAGGAAAAGTATAGTAGCTTGAAAAACAAGCAAGCAAAAGAATTCCCGTAAACGATACTTCTAAATTTAGAGAAAAGAGTGAAGTAAGGTAAATCTTAAAACTTTTAATAATAATAATAAACAACGTCGTAGGCTTTTATTATTTTAAAATATCTTTCATTTATTGATTTTCTTTAAAAAAAGCCAAGTGATTTTCGCTTACTAGATGCCAAATTAGGGTAGCTGCCATTAAAGCATAAATTGAAGAAACTAGGATTCAGTTGTGTTGGTAGGAAGCTCATGCTTTCTTTGTAGAAACTAATCAATGGCGCCTGTTGTCTAAAATTCATGCTTTTCTCACTTGTTCAATTTGGTCGGTAGGCTACTATAGCAAGCATGAAGCGTATATTTGTCTAGTGTTTCCAAGCCAACTTCTTTCTTACAGGATTTTCATCATGAGCTGACATTAGTTAGAGAACCATTGGAAAACCTGCGGGTACTGGACAGCTGTTTTGCCCTACTTTTGGACTCCTCAGCAGTACACGCCCACCGGAATTCGAACCCAGGACCTTCTGGTTACAAGGCGAGCTCGTATAACATTAAGCCACTAGGACCCGATCCAATGGCCCATGGACAAATAATCGCCGAAGACACTGGCTAGGGGTCGCGCTATGTCGTGAATTGGCAGAATTTGGAATTAATGGACCATTGGATCGGGTCCCAGTGGCTCAATGGTCTACGAGCTCGCCTTGTAACCAGAAGGTCCTGGGTTCGAATCCCGGTGGTGGGGTGCGTAGTGCTGAAGAGTCCCAAACTAGGACGAAACAGCCGTCCAGTACTTTTTTTTGATTTACAGCTTGATTCCACACCGTATTTTCAGTACAAGTGTGGAATTTTCAGCATGGATATCGGTAGCCCAAATTTTGCAGGCCGACCATAGATATCGGGTGTGCGCCGGCAGGGAATCGAACCCCGGACCATGTACATGGTCGGCGAGAGTCCTTACCACTGTGCTACCGACTCCCAGGTTTTCCAATGGTTCTCTAACTAATGTCAGCTCATGATGAAAACCCTGTAACTAATCAAATCCCTACAAACCAACACTTGAATACCAACTTCTTTCTGTTTTAACTTCATAGAATATGCCATTGAACTGCTGTTAGAACATTATGGGAAATCATAACGAATTCATCTATGTGATTACTTGCTGGCAACTCGTTTCATACATAAATTAAAACTTCATAAATATAATTGGAAACTTACTCTCCACCGAACAATTGCATGCCAAGTAGCGCAAATATCAGGATGAAAAGGAAGAGCAGGAATAATAATGAGATAATACTTCGCATAGAGTTTAGTAAGGAAAGCACCAAATTCCGTAATGAAGCCCAGTACCTTGAAAAAAAGAAGAATTATGCATATATATATATATTTGTAAATAAAAGTCAAATATATGTTTATCAACAAAGTGAAATAATTTGTTGCTTTACTCGAAATAAATAACACACAACGTTAGGAAATGAAAATTTGGTGTAAGTTCTTTGCAGGATTTTTGAGTTTAAGTGCATCATGACCATTACTTTCCAAAGGACTTTATACAATGAATATGGAGTTGAAGGGTTGATCACTGAATTAAGACTGCGCTATTCTATCATATATGAGTTAAAAAGTGCACCAGATGCCCTAAAATACACTCATGCCGCTGAAAAATGTCTTCGTGTATTTTTGTTGTGCTTGAAGTTTCTGTAGCCAGGAGGTTAATTTTCCGGATAGGGTCGACAGTGCCACGCTCAACCTCTTTTCCTCTACCAGGTTTAGGACCGGCTAGTAAACTAGTGAACTAGTAAAACTGTGAAAAGGCCTTCGACAGCGTTGACTACTAAGTGATTTGGAAACTTCTTCAAACTAAAGAGTGCAGTGCCCCAAACACTTATGAACCTCATTCAACAGCTATATGACAATCCCATATGTCAAGTGATCCACAGCGGAAAACTCAGCGATGACTTTCAAGTAAAGACAGGAGTAAGACAAAGGCTGTCTACGATCAGTGATGATATTCCTGATTGTGGTGGACTGGGTCATATGGCAGTCCGACCGTGGGAAGTGTGAAGGCAGGACTACGCTGGATCAACAAGAAGACGCTTGAAGAGTTGGACCTCGCGGATGATTTGTGTTTAATGTCATATAAGCTCGAAGACCTACAGGCGAAAACCAAAAAGCTTTTAGAAGAAGCAGCCAGTGGAGACAGAATTCCAATTGAACATAGAGAAAACGAAGGGGATGAAGATAACCGGAAACCACCAAAAAGAAGCGCCAAACACAATCGACGGAAGAAGTTTGAATCAGGTCACTTCTTTCACTTATCAAAGGCGGCACCAGAAACACAAGGCAGATCTTAATCACTCTGAAGTCAGTGTCGAAATCTTCTGCACTCAGCATAAAGAACGAAATTCGAGCTTTTAACAACAATGTTAGGTCAGCCAGTTCTTCAATATATGGGTCAGAAACCGGACGCATCCCTGAAAGCCTTTCCAGAAGGTGGTTATCAACAACTGCCATCGCTACATAGAGAAGATCAAATCGGTCGTCTGAAAGGATTAGCAATAATTAACTCTGCTGTGCAGCTTACTGCCCAAATGGCATACAGAAGGAAAGGGAGATAGACTGGGCAATCTGAAACGACTGTTGAGTGACACTCACATGGCAGGCCATTACTTGAGTGAGAGTCAAATGGGAAACGATGATTTGGGCGGTCGAAAGTGACGTGGAGGAGATGAGAGCTAATGAGCAGTCGTGGGACCAGTTGAAGAGGACTGCATATAACAAGACAAAATGGAAATGTTCTGTTGAAGCCCTATATTCCACTCTAAACCTAAGAGAATAATAAAACTGAAAAAACCTTACTCATATATAAAACATTTGTTCAATGAAGAACTACTACCTTACTTATAAGAAGCTAGTTAATTACAAGGGGGAAATGATTGTTATTTATTTAACATAATATCATGATGTGAATTTCATACATAATTTTGAATTATAACCACTGTAATAGGGTAGGTAGTTCATTTCATATTCACAGACAACTGAAAGTCAAAAAACTAGATGTAAGTAAGTTATCAGCAAGTCTTCTACGCTCAACAAAATGCCTTTTCTTTTTCATCTCCTTTATGTTATGTCAGTTATGAAATCAAAGGTTTGCTTTAACTTAGCTTGCGTGACACTATCATGATAGGAGACGTTGAATTTTTTTTAACTGCTTTGACAATCAAAATGTTGACCAGTAAGTAGTAAAGAACAAAAACGGTATGGAGACATTTACGTGAGAAAAAGAAATTATCTTTTGCGATGGGATATATATACAAATATTCGCTTGTACAAATTTGTAAGTAGAATTTCCTCAATGGAGTCTCTTTTCCGAACTAATTTTTTCTTTCCCTTCATATCACACTTCTTGTACAATACAAAAAAGGAAATGTTATGAGTTGTTCGAAATATCCAAGAAGCTGACGGTGTCTACCGATGGGTTATTTCAGCAGTGGAATATTATTTAAAAGAATGGACACGGAACAAAGAGTACTCTTTTCGATAAATTCATCATCAGGCTCTACAATTAATTATATATACATTATATGAATGAATGAATTAGTCTTATGAACGACATTAATGTTTAAATAACATCAAATCAATAATATTGATAGATTACAGCTGAACAGCATCAACATAAAATAAGCTGAATGTCAGAAGAATTAGGAAAGATAATAGTACAAATTCATGAGTTTATAGTTTCTACTGAGGGCCAGGGCAGTAGTAGGGGCTGGCTGGACTTGTTTCTTTTGAACACAGAGCACTGGTTGTTTGAGGCGAATTGCAATAGCCTCTGCTGTTTGGAGCATGCGGTGCTTCGACGATTTTGGTAATTTGTTAGGCACCCAGTATATTATAGAGAAGGATTCTTCTACTGCTGGCTTTGTGACCGGTTTGCACCAGATGGTCTAATATCTAATATTATTTAACTTTATAAAAGGCTTCATCAAGTAGAAAAGTGTTTTAAGAAGACAGTGATATTCCATAGGAAAAGTGAGTAAAAGTTATTTCAAGAAGACGAATTTAATATCAAGCTTGAAATAAAGGGAAATAATAAAATAACTGAAGTAAGTGTAACAAATATCTTCTTAAGTTCACCTCACAATGATAACAGACTACAATGAACCGTGATATTCAAAGTCTTGAAGCAGTTATAACGGGAATCTCTTCAACGTTTAACAGCTAGTTATGAAAAATTCCCATGTTATGTAATTAAGAATACATCAATCAGCAAAGTCCTGAACTCTGCATACAGAAGAAGTTCGTCCAGTCACTACACTTGCAATAGACGTAATCTACCTTATTAGCCAACAAGTAAATTCTACCTAATCTTATTTTCTGTCTTTTCATTGGTATTATTTTGTCTTCTCAATTGTATTACTTTACATTTTCAACTTTCTTGTTGTCTACCCCCACCTGATTTAATTTCTACACCTCACTACCACTGTTACTGACTTGAACAACGCTCAATCTCTAGTCATTTATGTTACGTCATCCAACTTATTTGCTCAATTTCACCTCTACTTAGTCTCTACCTGTAATTACCTCTGTTGCTACTCTGATCTTTGTTGAAACATTTTAGTCAGTTATGTTACGTCATCTAGCTTACTAATTCAATCTTACTTTAGTTGCTGTCTGATAAACCTTGTTTCTATATTACATCATTCTGGTATTACCTGATCAATTATCTAAACTTGACAAACCTCATGTACACACACATACAAATAATTATATATAAATGCGATTGTACAGCTATGTGAATGAATTCGCCGAAAAGAGTCTCTTCGCTGAACGTCTTCTTTTTTCATATGACTCAATGGGGATTTCCAAGCTACTCAAATCGATTTTTGTGACTTCAATTCGAAGCCGTACAGTTATCCAGGGGGGTTATATAAACAGCTGATGTCAACTCAGACCTGTAACTAGTAAAATCCCCGCAAACCAACTATTGATAGTAACGTAAATTGACAACAGAGACCAGAGATTATTGGATGAGAATGGTACCGATCTTTGAGAAAATGGGAACAGTCTAACCTATTCACAAAAGCAAAACAACTAATTAGTAAAGAGATGAATATTCATTTGGGAGTAATTCATAGCAGACAAGAGCACAAAGGATTAAAAAATGGGTTGGAAAACATAAGAAAATAATAAGGCCTACACAGAGTTCATTAACCAGCTATTCAAGAAAAAAAAGAAAAAAGTTAGCACCATGTTTACTATAGTAAAAGAGGCTGGATGAAACATTCCTGAACACAGAGTCCAGGGTTTTTCTTATGGATTGCTAAGGCTTTGACTGCATGAAGAAGATATAGGCAAAATCCTCTTGAACTAAGTATAAAACTTGGGCACTGTGGTAGAGTATAACTCCATTATGGATAAGATTTTATTTTGATAAAATCACACAGTGTTTTATACAGTAATATTAACTGATGACGTTTCAAGCACAAACTATTGCTGCTCATAATCATATCAAGTCACTCACGCAACATTTTATTTCATTTATATACATCAGTGGAATTGATTAGACATTTGAATAAAAATTAATATAAGATAATGTACATTCAGATATAATATCAGTGTTGTCAATCAAATGCAATCAGATGGGAAATAAGACTAGTGTTTTTATAGTCAAAATAAATGACTTGTTAGATTGTTATGATGTACGTGAACCTAAATAGAATTTCAAGATTACTTATTATCCTCCTCTGATTTGACTGACTGGTGGTAATAATATCTTCCATATCTCTGATATTTACGTTGAGTCACTTCTACTGTATGTGTTTGGTGTAGACTCAATGAACCACGATTCAGTAATCAATCTCTCTCTCTCCCACCTAACTATATTACTCTTGAGAATTTCGACTCTGTCCCACCCTATTGTGTGGCTGTGTGTTATTGCATGCAGTGCTATAGCTGAGCTCTTTTCTAAATCACTTATCTTCGTGGAGTCAATCATTTCTAGCCTCAGCTAAATTCTTATGTTCTAATAATCTCACTACTCCTGATCTACTAGTATGACCTAGGTAGTTGACTTCACTCACAGTCATTGCATTTGTAAATTATATTATCTTGTTTAATTGGGTTCACCGGGTGCTTTAGCCTACAGAGCTTGTCTCTGAGTGAATTTGTAGGTTCAAATGCCACCCTAATCCCTCCTTTATTGAGAATCCTACGTAGGGTGTCAGATTTCCCCTCCTTATATGGTAAAACTACTGTAGATGCCTTATATTCTTTCTTGTTTGTGTTATCATTAATAGTATATGTGACTGTGAATGAAATCTCTACTGATCCTGCATAACCAGAAGTAA